CTCTGATCAACTCGTCGAAGAAGGGCAAGCAATAGTCACCAGGAATGCCGAACACATGTTTGACTCCCAACTCCTGGATGCGAGAGATGAGAAATGCTGACACGGAGATCTGCTGAGCCATTGCTCTCAGACGCTTGGTCTACGCAGCAAGAAGCAATTGGAGAGATGCTTGAGCCTTAGGTCTGGCAGGTCAAGCAGTGTGTTGGGAGTCAACAAATTGTAGCATAAAACTGCACAATGCAAAAAGGCCAACTCTGGAAAACGCGGACCCTTGTCAGCAGCCATGACCAGCGCCGTCAAGCCGATGTCCTTGCACCCGTCGTCGGTTTACACCATGATGAGGAACGTTGATGCAGCAAGCAGGACGTCAAAGCAGACAGAGCGCCATGTTGCTGGTGCTGATTGATGTCTAGGTACAGTATATATGCTAACCCCAACCCTGTCGTCGACCTGTACAAGATTCTGTTCATCACAATGCAGATCTGCAAAACTAGGAAGCCAAGGCAACGCGTATGAATTTTTGAGTTGCTCTATGTAAATTCCATCACAATACCGAATCATACCTTTCGAAACAATGCAGATCTAAGTAAAGGTATATGTAAAGGTCCTGAAAGGTAAGTCTTCCAAAAGTAATACAAAACTAGGAAACCACGACGCTTCTAGTTCTGATAAGCTTTCTTGTAAAGTAAGCTCTTCCTTGGACATGCCTTTATAACGACCCTGTAATACATACATTAGGTGGACTCCCACCCAGTAATAGTGGGTATAAGGGATCACGGAGATTACATAAGGGTCCTCTCATATTCCTAAATTTACGACTATTACAGTGCGGGGGGTCCACCTAACACATACAACAAGATAAGCAATCAAGAACTATAACATCGAGTTGATTGATATCTGCAGATAATCCTCCCCAAACAGAACAAGGTCTTTTAAAAATAGCCCTAGTTCTAATGTTACATTTGCTTGCACAGGTTCCAATAGAAACACATCGTTCAAACAAAGAAAGAGCCCAAGGAAATTTGCGATTCAAAAAAACTTCTCTCCTATAAACTATTACGAACACCTTATAAAGCGATATAAGTCTAGCAAATACGGCGAATCGCCAATTCAATATACTTTCAGATACATAAAATCTTTAAACTCCCAAATGCGCCGCTACGAAAACACAAATCTGTCAGAGAACTCCGAGGCCTTTGTAAATTCCTCGTAAAATTTGGTTATGCGAATTCGTTCTAGAAAACCTGGTGGCGAAGAAACCTTTGAAACCCGTAATCCTCAACAACATGCCCTTGTCGATGTCCCATCCCTCCCACATCAGCTACTTTGAGCTGATTTCAAGCCCTAGCTGAACCGAACACCCGAACACCCAAAACACAGAATCATAGGTTCTTGGTTTTAGAATTGCTTCAGCCCGGTCATTGCCATATAAGAATTTTCAGGAGAGCGAATATCCGAAAGCCGGAATCCTGAATTCCTGATTCTCAATGTATTTGAGATCAATGAGGTCTTAGAATCTAATGCTAATGAATACCAGAAAACGGAAATCCTGGATTCGTGATTTCTGCCTGGTTTCGACCGGGCGGGCCCGGCCCCTGTAATTTCTTGGGGCTAGAGGCGGGATCAAGACTGCAACGGTTTAGTACTTCACGCGACAGTTGTGGTTTTGCGCATTTCTACTGTGTGTTTTTGGGTTGGGTGATTTTCAAATAAATCCCCATGATGGTACAAGTTACCACAAAACGTAGTAGGACTTATGAGAGCCCTGAATAAAGCATCATAAAATTTGAAACCCATGTAAGGACAGCTACAGTAACACACGGTGAAAGGATGTCCAATAAAACCGATGGAATTCTACAGGAAAACGGTGTTTGAATTTCTTCGAAATCTGAGTTTGGACAAACCTGCATACCCGCCAAAAAAGCGCTCTGGGTGTCCGTTGGATCGTTAAAAAGCCACCACACACATAGGCTGTCTTAGAGAATCAAGCAACCGAAAAACAACACGACAAAACCTCCAAAACGTTTTTGGAGACGCCCAGGAGGTTTGTAAGCATTGCATGTTGCATGATGGTCCTTGAAATTGGTCCTGGCTCGTGAAAAGTCCTTGCACATTTAATTAGAACGAATAAATTAGAACGAATACCCGAAATTCAGAATCGTTCCAAAGAACTCTAAAAGGAAATGAAGCGATTGCTGAGCTTAATTCTGGTATCCAGGTTCTCTGGAAGCGCGAAAAGAAGCAGCTGTTAAATCAAATTCTCATTCTGAAAATGCATTGACACAAACCCGGCCATGGAAAACGTGCTGGAAATGATGGTATTTACGAAGGAAAAACATGGTCAAGGTAGATTCACCCTATACATATACATGTACGTATATGCGTGTATTGCATCTGGTATGAGATTTGCTGTCCGATGCGGCGTTGATGTTGCCAGCCCGCTCAATGAGCAGCTCAACCATCTGGACACGTCCTCATACCGTCCAAGCTGCTCATGCTCAGTGAACAAAGATGAACCAAGCAGTGATCAAGCCGCCTAAATTGACAGGCAATCCATCGACTCACCAGGGAACATACTAGAACACGAACATGACTTATAAATGAGCAAAACAAATCAACTTGCAGGCTCCCCCGAGTAGATTTCTACAAGTTCATAGGTACTTACCATTCGGTACTAATCACTACGATAACCGTCATGATGTGGCATTGCGGACTTTTGCTATGAATCTTGCAACCACTCACTGCTACCGCTGCTATTTCGTCCAAAAAAGATTCTGGGTTCGTAAGTGCGTAATATTCACAACTGGAAATCTCCATCCTGAAGCTGCTGCCAGCATTAGCGCGGAGAGGCCGTAGCCAGTAGCTCCGTTGACGGAAGCGCCTGCCCGTCAACATGTATGTCGGCTGAAAAGGACTACAGCAGTAGCAAGCAAAACAGATGGGAATCCTAGCAGTGTCAGCAGCAAAGCAAACCTTGACTGATTAGCTAAACAAGAACAGCACAGTGGTGCCGATATGTGCCGATGCTAGTAAGGTCTGGATTCAGAGCTTTGGCACGGCCACCTTCATCCAGCAAGAAGCGCACCGTCTCCAAGCGTTGTGCAGATTTGGAGTTGTCCTTTGGCACGCTGGGAAAACGACTACAAATCCTTGCATAGAGGCATAGAACCCGCCTGGCCAGCGCCAACTGCATACATAACCTGGGAATTGGCATGGATGACGAAGGAGGAGCTGAGACATATTTGAGGCATCGGCACAAGTGTGGCCAGCACAGTTGGAGCTGTTCACATCAGCTGCATGCTCCAAGAGCACTTTGAGAACCTGAGCATCTTGGAACAGCTCGGAGCTTGAAAGTTGCAGACTCTGATATGCGCCTCAACACTGGCCGCAGAAGCTGCGAAGAGGATGGCGGAACGTCCCGTGGCATCTTTCGCGAAGAGATCTGCAGAAGCGGCCAGCAGGCTCCTTGCTGCCGCCAGGTCACCTCCTTGCAGCGCATCAGCCCCATGGGGATGCGAGTCAGAAGCAAAACTGGTCCAATTGGATTGATCCATGTGCTCTGGTGCTTGACATTCATTTGTATCTGGGGGCGCAGCTCTCACAGGCTGCCATTAGCTCAGTGCGGCTGGCAGGGGCGATGCCCTCGGCAAAAGCTGGGGCTGAGCTTTGTTTTCCAACGAAGCTCAAGCTGCACACGCTTGGGTGCCTGCGGCTAAAGTAGTCCTGCAATGAAGAGGTTCGCAAAACACACACGCTTCCAAGCCAGTGATGAAGGGCTAGTTCCAGCGTCCTGGTCCGGGTCTCAACAATGAGTTCGTAAGCGGCCTGGATCTCCTTTCAGCACAAAGAGTGCCGCATCCGGAAGCCTTGCTTCAGAGATGTCTTGTACGCGCAAAGTGCCTGAAAGCGGATGGTTGCCAAGCGCCTCTGACTCTCATCCTGCACCTGGCTAAGCCAGAGCAATTCGTGGTTGGACATCTGAAGGCCCGACTTTACAGTAGACCCAGTCCGCGGGCAGGCCTTGTCCGGATGATTCCTTAGGGGCTTGCACTTTGGTGTGCATAGGGCTCTTCACTGCGTTCTGACCCCACTTTTAAACACCCATGCAAAGCGAGTCATCCTGCGTCACCACTTGGGCTGCAAGAAGCAAGAAGTGCGATGAAGTTGCAGTCAAGCGTCCTAAGTGCCAGCGCTCTGTAGGCTTGCTTAACCTCCTCGTCACTGCAGGAGCTGAGCACTCCCAAAATTGCCTCAGATCGCGGTCATGGGATTTAACAGGAGCAGCTCTGTTGAATCTTAAGAGATCTTAGAAAAAAAGGATTTTCCAGGTCCTCAAAAGAGTTCACCCATTGTTCACCCTTGCCATTGCGGGCATTTTGAAGCACTCTAGACACTGAGTTTGCGCAAACCTCGGTTTCAGGGCGCACCGCTCCGTCCGAGTCGCGTAGGCATCGGCCAGCGGCATATGGATTCCGGCCAGGAGGATGACTCATCCGCTGAATCCATGCCGTGGGCGCTTTTGAGACTAGCCCCCCTCTGCTTCAACTTTCTTGGTGGCTGGCCTGCTGTCAGTGGGGCTATAGTGCCTGTCTGCTCAGCAGCACACCTATCCTGACATGTTTGAGCATCAATTCGGCGCGGGCTCAAAGCAGCGCTGAAGGCCAAAGTAAAACGATCATATACCTTGGCCTAGCGACCATAAGCCTCGATGTGATAGGTTCCTTCTTCCTTTGTGCATGGCGATGCAGTCTGCACTTGCCAGGTTTGTACTCGTGTCGGAAGCTCGCACGGGCACAGGCACCTGCAACGTTTCGGTAGCTACTGCTCAGCTTATCATAGGCCATCGAATGTGTGATCCACAATAGATACGATTTGTAGATCCTTAAGCGCTGCAAGTGCCTACCGACAGGGCTTCAGTTGGCCCTGCTTCTGTGCGGCAATCGCATAGCTTTGCAATCACCGCAAAGCGTTGCAAATCTGGATGGGTGGTCCGGGTGCTGGCTGCTGCTGCTGCCAACCTCACCAGTCGTTGGCCAGAAAGGCTGCGGCTAAGTTTCCGGAGCTTGCATTGACAAACACTACAGTCACTACAGGGGAACATGGCGCAGGCCACACGCCTAGAAGGAACACAACCTTGGGCAATGAAAGTGACGCGGCCATCAGACTATATTGGAAGACTGTATTTGAATGAGTTGTTTTTTGTTTCGCAGGTATCGCACTGTGAAGATCTGTGAAGCTTTGGGCTGAGGCTGTCCAGGCTCCTGGCGTTTATGGCTTTTGATTCTGGACCTGGCATTTGACAGCGACAAGTACTCAGCGATCTACAGGTCTCTGACATGACCATGCCTGGGGGCGCCTACGAGCATCTGACTGTACGGGGATAGTATCGAACAGATCCCTTGAATGGTGAAGCCTCTACCTATGCAAAGCAGAGCCGAAGAGCGCAAATCGAGCAGCTTGAACATGTCAGCAGCGCCTTTTGATCCGGGGATGGATTGAGGAGGCTTGGAGGCTGCCTGTCAGATCATTCCCTGCAGGCTATGGCTCACACGTTGCACATTCGTGCATGGCATATGTCCTTACGACGTCGGCCAGCACGATGCAGAAAGAGGCCTGGCGCGACATGGCTTTCCCACAGCTTGCAGAGTGCTTCGTGGGCCCGTGAGATGCATCACTCAGCCGGCAGAACAATGACGAGGACGATGAGAATGTTCAGGGACGCTAGGAGCCACCCTCGCCTGCAGATCAGTTGCTCAAGCACTGCAAGGCTTCGCCGATCATTCTTTGCATGCAGCAATCGCACCCGGTCGTGGGGGGCTTGAGCAGCTGAATGACAAGGCTCTGCTGGCTGCGTCTTGGTCGATCTCCTGCAAGATCGCTTGCAAAGTAGGCTGCCTTCTGAAGAACCTGCATGGTGCTAAGGCAAACCTTCCCTGCGTCTTCGAGGCGCCGCCTTTGGCACTCCTGCATTGGCAGGATATGGTCGTTGATCTAAATTCCCTCATCTCGAAATGACTGTCTGCGCGAGAAACAATCTGTTTGCGAAACTTGCTCGGACCCATCACCGCGCACGTTTCTAATAGCTAGCTCATTCAGCAGCTCCGAAACTGTATGTTTTTAAGCGGAAAACCACTGAGTTCACGAAACCCTTCCGTACATACTTGAACCCAAAGCATCCACACCTGCACACCAAAGCCTCAAGCCCAACATCTTTAAGCCGAGACCTGCACATGTCAGTGGCAAAGACGGAGGCCGGGAAGGCTCCCAGGTCTGATCCCAAGTCACACGTTCATGTCCAGAGCGGGTGGGTTAGAAGAATCCATAATATTGGGCATATAATCATACACATCTACTATGAGTCCTTGCCCATAGATTACAACAACCTCTACTTACGAGGGACTTACACGGAACTTTCGCGATGGTTTCGCGAAAGCTTCCGTTGCCAGTCCGGATTTGCGCCATGTGTTCATTACCTAGGGCTGGAAAAAAAACATCTAGCACGGATATGCGCCCAGGATTTTAAGAGTCTACGAGACAAGGACGGGATTGAATGACTCTGGGAGTCCTTCAGAGCCATAGTCTAGCAAAGCCGCCAAAACTTGCAGTGCCATCGCGAAACTATCGCAAAAACACATCTTCTTGTGCCGGTGGCCCATCCAGACCTTTGGGGGGGGGATCTCCTGCTGCTGGCTGCGCGGGTGGCTCCGGACCTCCATGGATGGCAGGACAGGAGATTGGGAAGGGTCAGGCAGCTTCCAGGCCTGGAGCTTCCGGGCTGGTTTGTCTCACCTTGCGTTCGCCCAGCTTCCCAGTCCCCGTGCAGCTTTGAAGAATTATGCGCGAGCCTGCCCTTCCGCAAGTTCAGTCTGCACTGGAGGTGTCTCGATGCTCTGGCCTTCGGCCTGACGAGACTAATCTCGCACTCCATGCTTACTTCTATTTGGCGTTGCTGCCTGCACCTCAGCAGACTGCTTTTCTGGAAGCTCCTGCAAGATTAGAAGGCTAAGGCTGCAGGGTTGGTCGCATCAAGCTCGCCATCATGTGGCTGGCCACTCCCCTGCTTTGCAATTCCGCAGGAGGCCCTTTTACCACTTGAAAGCTATCACCCCTTCTCGTCGATGTACCCTGTACAGCATGCATGTTCAGGCTCCCACATCAAGCTTTGTAACTTGGTGGAAAATCTGCCAAGGGCGGGACCATACTTTGAGTCCCAAAACCCACCGGCAGCACAGCACGCGAGCGGTTCCGCTGCCAGGTGCCGGCGGTGGCATCCGACGGTGCCGGAGTGCGGAAAAGATCCCAGCACTTGATAAGCTCAACTTGCCATGGGCTATGAGGGGCCAAACTCCAGCACCGTTCAAAGCCCTGGGCACGCCTGACGCAAAGTCAGCTGGACTCCCAGACTCTCCACAAGTCCACATGTTGCACCCATCCCAGACTCTCAAAATGCCAGGCGACGGGGCACGGCTCCACAGGCAAGTCAAGCCATGGAGGCCGGCTCCAAGTCAAGGAAGGGTGACCGAGGTATTGGTCTCCGGAGCCACTGACTTCCGTTCACTCAAAACAAAGTTCCAAATACTCCGAATTGGGCGTGCAAAGCAAACCCTGTCGATCCGGCCATCAACCGGTGGACCCACAGGGCCCTTCAAAAGCATAGCAATCTACACCTAAATCAGCGCTGTGCATCTAACCGTGCATGTGGAGACCGGCTGAGGCGACATACGCCAGACCTTTTTCACGAAGAATCTACAGTTCGCATTGAATGTGATCTGCTGCAGGAAGCGCGCTATCCTTTGCTGCCAAAAACTGAGACAGGTCATCTTGGACTAAAAGCACTCTCTGCAGGAACTGAGGTCGCTTCTTCAGAGTATGCTCGCGCCGCCAGTTGGTAACGCAGGAGTACATGTTCGTTCCACCAATCCCCTGGATTTGGGAACATTGCTGCGTTTCCTCAAAGCCATTTCCAGCAGTCACACGGTTCCTTGGATCACATTCGCATTTCTGCAGTCTCGAACCCGAACTCTTGAAAAATGCTTACGATTTCTGCAAAGCAGGCTCTCGAAATAGGGAGTCCCAATTTGTCTGGTAATGATATTTGTTTCTGCTCCTGACATAGTTCATTTCAAGCGCTGGATTGTCTGCCGCTACAGACGACGGCCGTCCTGCATCCATGTTGAAGCAAGTTCTGCCTTAGGACGTGCATCCACTGCATGCTTACTCTCAAATCCCAAAATGCTGGGGCACAGCGATGTAATTAACTATCTAGGTATCCATAGGTATCCCCTATTTAGGTCCAGGCTGCCACAAGTATAGGTGCCCAGAGGGCTACAGGAGGAGATCGGGGGCGGCCGGGGCCTGCTGGCTCCATGGTGAAGAGGGCAAGGCGCATATTCTCCGAACCCACAATACCGGCAGTTCCTTGGCTCAGCAGCTCTAAAGCCGCTATGTGCTTGTGGAATCCCAGAATCATCCTTCGGCACCCACTTGTGACAAGAGGCGCCACTCCTAAAGCGCTGCAGCCTCGCCGTAAGAATCACAGGAGCTGTGCTTGCAGGAAACGACTAATCCCAGTTGTCCGAACGCTACAGAGCGTCATCAGCGACTATGTAGCATGACAGCAAAAGTTGTTGTGATGGCTTGCTTGGTGGTCTGAGTGTCAGGCCAAGCCCGGGGCACTGCTCATCCCAGAGGCATGGCTGGTCTGCATTTTCTTTGCGGCATTCGCTTGCCTGAATGTTCTCAGGTTTCTTCAAATGTCCCATGTGATTCTGATACTTCTGATACTTGAAGCCAAACAAAATGGGTACTTTCTCCAGGTTACGCAGTCCACGCGCGCATTCCGCGCCTGTAGCAGCAGGCTGCCCAAGAGCTGCAGAAAAAAAGAGATGGCATTTCCTCCTGGTTCAGCCTAGCCTGTGACTCCGACCGCAAGGCCGTTTGATTGTCAGATCCTGAGACTTTGGCTGCGAGCAATCTTAACAAACTTTATGCTTTGGATTGGCACAGGTCGTTCTCAGGCTAGGTCCCACCACAAGCTGTGCAAGCACACCTCACGGACAAGATCGTGGCATGCACAGATCCGTCTAGAGACAGCACGCTGCATGCTCCTCATCGTTGTCATGATCACCAGCGCTGGCAGCAAATAGTACAACCAACGTCAACATCAGGATCTTCGACGTAGAGGTCGCAACGGTAACGCGTGTAACACAAAAAGAGCAAGAGCAGCAGCAGCAGCAGCAGCAGCAGCAGCAGCAGCACGAGAAGAAGAAGAAGAAGAAGACAACGACAGCAATGAGGGATCACGAGCAGAGGAGAGGCCGTGATGGTAGTAAGGATCATCATGGCGAACCGTACGCAATCATCATCTTTGCAATGGGTGTGCAAACCAGGCCGCATAAGCACAAAATTCGCATGTACGGCGTCGGGATCACAGTCAAACCTAAGTCCAGCGTAAACGCATCTCATGTTCCAGCCACCTGTACGGATACCACAACATTTGAGCTCTCCTTCTGTAGTTACTGTAGTTGATCTCAAGCTTCCCAATTCAGCCCAGTTGCAACATGTGCTTGCTCACAAGCATTTTTGGCTTTGACAGCTTGAGCAGGACAAGGTATGCGGCAAGATAGAATGACATGGTTCAGCCCAAACTCCAATCTTTCAGCTGAAAAGACCTGGAATTGCCCCTTTTCAATTGGCAGGAATGTCAACACGTTTTACTGCCTCTGGAATTTCCAGCTCCCAGCGCTGCGGCTCTATGCAGCCTCGGTAGCTGCCCTTGGCTATTCTTCTACAATCCCCAAATCCCAATGAACCCTGACCTGAAACCAAATCATGAACGCCCAATATAGACCTTAAACCCTCGCGAACCCCACAAGCCAAAACCCTAAACTCTGCGCATAGCTCCTCTTTGAGCTCCTCAGGAGAGAGCTCCGGCAGCAGCTCTCGATTCCTGGGCCAAGCATGCCGACCACCTATCAGACCACACTTAGGGCTTAGGGTTTACTATTATTGGAATAATGGAAAATACGATGGAAACTACTATAGTATATTGGGATTATATTGGGATAATGGAAAATAAAATGGAAACTACTCTAATAGGATATATATTGGGGGTACTCTATTACAACAACCCAGGGATACCATTACCTGTTATCTGTTACAAGGCTTAAAACAGCATCCCAGATTGAGGAAGTAAGCATCAGGCTTGAGAGCCCATTGACCAGATGTTCCAGGCAGCGTTATGAAGTCCAAGGATTCCTGGCTGTGGGAATTGCTCTATGCTTGCGGTTGAATGCGGCGAATGTACGACATACAGTAGCTTCCCTGAATAGAGGGACCCCAATATAGACCCCAAAACCTTTTAATCCTGATTAGAATGACCCCCGCCCTTCCCCCCCGCCAAAAAAAAATTAAGTACCAACCAATTTTGAGAAACCTCACATGTAGCGTTCCCTTCCTCTTTCTTGAAGTTGCTTCCTGAAGCTTCCTCTGTCAAACGGAGGCACTGCCTTGGCCAAACGCTTTCGAAGGTCACTGGGCCAGTCGAGTGCGCCTGGTGCCAAGTAACTGTTCACAAAGCTGCAATCAGCTATGCTCCCTATTCAGGGTCCAGGACACCAAGGATGGTGCATGATCCAGCTGTTTTTGAGAAATTGTTTTGCATGCGTCCAAGTAAGCATGACTTGAGCATCACAATTCGCCAAGTCAAAAGCCCTTTTCCGCTACTATCGCTCTGATTGCACTCCCATATTCTCCAACTGCTTGAGAAAGCTCAATAATGGACAGGAGTGACGACAGGGCGTGAAAAGACAGGAACTGCAACCCTCCTACCGAAACCCTCCTTAAAACAACACCCCCCAACATGCCCCCAGATGCCCCCAAGATCCCCCTAAGATCCACCCAAGATCCCCCAAGATCACCCCAAAACCGCCAAGACATCCCAAGATCCCCCGCAAACCTCCCCAAGATCCCCCCCAAGGTCATCCCAAGAAATTTGGCACAAAAAAGCCCTACGGCAACGCCAGAAAAGCCAGCCCGTGGTGCAGGGCAGCTGAAAAAACAGACAAAATTGGCCCTAAACAAAGCTCCCTCCAAGGAGCTTCCGTGACTTCTTGCCATCGTTGCCACTACATGCTAGTACTCCTCTTCTTGCATATCATGCCATAACTCTGCCACTAGGAATTTCTCCACAAACAGCAGCACCGCAAGAGCCAGGTGGCACCCACTGCGCCATCTCCAGCAACAGGAAAGTGACTTCGCAAGGCCTCTGTGACACGGAGAATCAGGACAGAAGGATGTAGCATAAAAAGAAGCGTGAATATTCGCTAGATCAGATGTGCGGAATCCAATCATCCAAGCTTCCCTTCTAATCTGTATAGTAGTCCCCTATATAATCCCGTATGTAACCCTCTTTAAGAAGGTGCATCTCCCCTGCCTCCATAATGGTCCGGATTCCCCAAGCTGGCTGCCAGAGCTCCGCATGGTAGTCTGGCCAAGCAGAAGGGTGAGCAAGAACACCAAGAGTCAGAGACTTACTGGAGGCAAGGGGAGCCTTTCTACCAAACAGGGGTTGCAAGAATAGGACGCATGCAACTGAATCCTGACAGCTGACTGAAACCTTTTGAGAAACGGCGTTTGCCATGTTGCGCACTTTGCAACCAAGGCACTGGTGTTGCTCAGGCAGATCTTCTTCCCCACCTGACAGGCAGCAGAATGAAAATTGGGAACAGCTGTACACATCTGCAGAGTTGCGAGCCTCCCATCGGCCACTTGGTGTGAGCATGGTGATGGATGGAGGTGCTAGAGGGTAATTCACCTCAGCCAAGGGCCACCGTGCTTTTGGGCAAAGGGATTCCTGTAGAAGACAGTCATATCCTGAGGCATGGGGCAGGTAAGACAATCTTGCCAGTGTAGATGCCTCTATGTCCAACATGGCAATCGGGCATCAATCCACAAATCCTCCTATCTTATGTCTGGGCCTCCTTCAAAATCAGTCGAGGGAGGACCACGAACAGCAAACTAAGTGCGCTCAAAGACCGCAGACTGGATTCAAGCACTGAAGCCTACCCATCTGAGATAGGAGCCAGCCACTCGAAAAGGTCATCCTTTGCGGGCCCCGCGATCCTGTTGAGCGTCGTTGCGAGTGACTAGGCTTGTGCATCAAGGAATACCATGCTGCAAGGTCCAGTGCCGCGAGGGAGATTCACTGATCTCCTTGAGCTCACGCTGAATTCGCCTGTGCTAGCAAGGCCTACATCTACCATGCTAATGCTGCTTGCTGCTACGCGGCTGCTACATTATCGGCTTCATCTACTGCTGCTCGTGAGGTATCGCCGTGTAACTATCCAGAGTAAGGATGCTGTGCTTCCGTGCTACAGGTTGCCAGGTGCCAAGCTTGATGGAAGATGTGGCAGAGGTTGAGCCAGTGGACCCGAATCCACTTCCATTTCTTCCCTGACCGGAAGGCATAAATGTAACAGAGGAATAGTTTGGAATGATCGTCAAGAGCAGTGAACTTTACAGCAGATGGTGCCTGGGAAGTCTAGTTTTGTTTACATGGTTCAACTACAAAAATGAGGCATACTTGCGCCGACCTGGGGAAAAAGACCGCTAGTTACTTAGCTTACGCACACACGACAAGAGCGGGACAGCATCAGCGCATCAGCAGGTCTGAGCTGAATCCTGCCTGTCTCTCCATGTTCAAGGCCATGCTAAGAACACGCAGTGCAAGGTACACTAGGGTCGCGTTAGGTTACAAGTTGGGCGGCTTGAGGCGGCTTGGCTACTTAGCTTCTTCACTGCGAAGTATGCATGAGGAGATTTGTCAAGGTTGCTTGGGCGCACCAAAAGCTGAGTGACGCTGCACCGTGCGCAACTTCAACCTTAAGGCCTGTCAGCACAAGCAATACAAAAGCACACCTGCGCAATCAAGCTTCAGCGGCGTGGAATGTTTCCGCGGACCTGATAGCTCCGCACGAGCTGGTGAAACAACTGGCTAGCATGCTCGTGGCTCTTCATCCATGGCGGCAAACAGCTCGTTTACCCTAGCAGCTGCGCGCACGCAGCACCACCACGCAGCCGCACCATCGCTACAATAATTAGGGCCCCTGGAACCTGTCTGGAACAGGAGAGAGCATAGCAGCTTCAATCTCATTTTTCTCTGTAGCACTCCAACCATGTCCAACACATCCAGGCACCGAAGGAGCCGTGCAACAGAGGAACAGTGAGACTTTGGCGGAAGCAAGCTTCAAGCTCTATCAGTATGTCGCACCTTGCTGAGGCGTCATGATGCCAGACAGCTCCTGGACAACATAAAGAGCCTAGCCTAGCACGGGACTTGCTCCTACAAAAGAGCCCTGGGCTCTTGATAGCAGTCCTCAGCCAGAATTTCTGCGAAGCGGTTCCTGATGGGCGGAAAAAATGTGGGAAAGAGGCAGCCAATCTTGCTTCCGCCTCCTTCGCTGTCGTCGCTCTACTTGCTGGCATTCTCTTCTTTCTTCTTCACTTACGAGCACCTCAGGTCAGCAACAACAAAGAATCCAGGAAAGGTGCAGCGGCTCTCCCTCCAAGCCAGAGACAGTGGGTATGAGCACCCCATCCTCCACATCCTGAGAGCTTGGGGCACTTCTGGGTCACCTCTGCTACGTCCCTAGACCTAGACAAGTAATCCTTGCCTCTTCCGCGGTCTGAGAGCACTCTGGGGCATGGATGCCTGCGGCCATGACTTTGGCTGGTAAACATGCTGTATCTTCTGCCGACGTCCCCGGCCTTCCGGATTTGGTTCCGCAGCTTCAAAAGCCAGTGCTGGCTCTTGATCACTTGTCTCGGCAGGAAAGTGAGCCTCTACGTGTAGCGCGCGGGGCGTGCTGGCCGGTATGTTCACCACGTCAGGCTCTTGGAAGCCTCACAACCAGGTCAAGCATCTGAGTTGGAGTCAAATCTTCCATGCAAGCTGATGAGACTTCGCTGAATGATTGGATCTCCATGTCCCTTTTGCGCTGATTCCGACCGTTTTTGTGCCATGCAAGGGAGAAGACCCTCCGCCGAACGTATCGGATGTTTGCGAGGCATGTCAGAATGCTTACGCAATTGCCGTGCTGCGGCAGCTTGTACACTGGAGAGAAGTTGGCTGTGTCATGCACTTTCCTTTGCAAGCAAGTATGCTTAACGGACTGAACTTGCCTGGAGGATGCCGTTCCATGAGCTCCATGATGATCTGGTTTGCGAGCTCGGCCTGCCCCAGACGAGGGCACAGCCGGTGCGAGCAGCCAAACGCTACAGACATAAAACTGGATGCAAGATACTCCCGCGAGTTCCAAGCCTTCTTGCCAGCGGTGCTCAGGCGCAAGGGTCGACACAGACCTGTCTACAAAAAGGCACACGCCATGTTTCCAGCGGTACTGAAAGCACTACAAGCTGGGCCTTTCAGCTTGGCACAGCTAAGTCTTTCAATCATCAGTTGCTCAAACTGATCCGTCTTGTTCGTGGGGAAGCTCCGGAGGATTCGACCAATCGGCTGGTCTGGAGCAGCAAGTCTGGCATCTTGAACGAGAGCTTCCTCGATTCTGCCCATCAGGGCTGTGCGTGAGCCTTCCACCACCCGCAGCCGAAGCCCTGCACTGATGATTCTCAACTGGGCCGTCGTAGCCTCTCTGAGCCTTTTCCTCCGCTCCGCCACACCTGCCTGGCGCAAGGCTTTGAGCAGCGAAACCAGCGTTCCACCCAAAGTGGCTGCTTGTACCCTCCAGCTCTGGTCTGTGCATCGGCAGGAAACGCGGTGCTTCCGCACCGGAACATGCCCAAGCCGAGGCCACTGCACCGGCAGAGCAAGGGCCATGGCTGGCAGGTGTACCAGGCTTGAACTAGGCAAAGCTAGGGGAGGCCAGCAATTTCAACAGCTACGTCTCAATTTGCTTGATGTTCACCCTATGTCTGCAAGCCCATTTCATTACCGCCAGTGCCAGAACTGACCCTCAGTATGCAACAGAACAGAATGAAACAGGTGGGCTTGAGCTTCAGCTGTGGCGGCCGAAAGGGGTTCAACTCGCGTGTGCAAAAGCAACTAAACACAAAACACAGCCCTGTTCCATGCAACACCACGTGTTGGCCGTGATTGTGGCTGAGCAGCTTTTGGAAGCGATGTCAGTTGCGGCAGGTGTAGAAGCCTCGGACGCGCAAGGATGCACTCGCTGCAGGCAGCAGGATCGTCCCAACTTGTGCGAGAGTGCTGCTGCGATGTCACATTCATTCTCCTCTGACCAAGCGGGATCCGATGGCTTCCTCAAATGAGCTCATCGCCCACGCCCTCCTCGCCGCCCTCGGCCTCTGCCTGCCTTCGGCTTTTTGGGAGGCGGGATGTACCACCCGTTGCCCTTCGGTTTCTCACGCAAGTGCACCAAACCTGTCTCGGAATCCATGTCAATCTTGCCATTTCGCTCGAGATCCTCCACCGCCTCCTGGGCAAGGAGCATTCCTGGAGCGCCATCAGGAACCAAGCCATCTGCCAACAGCGCTTTGTGGGCTCCTGCCCATCCATGCCATGCTGCGCTTTGGCCTGGCTGCGTGCGCAGGAAGGCCTCAAGCTGTGCCGAAAGCCTTGAAATATCGACACCAGCGCTCCCAGCGTCTACGCTTTCAGAGTTGCCCTTGGGCTCTTTGCTGCTCCTTTCCTCGCAAAGTGCTGACAACACATACCGCACTTCTTGCAGGCGTTCTGGCTGCACGCGAACTCCAACAACGGCACCTCCATCGGCCAGCTTTGTCCGCACGAGAGGTATTTTGCGTGGCGCCTTCGAACTTTGCGTCGCGCCGATGGCAGTCCCAAGCACTGCCCAGGTGCTCAGAATTGATCCCGTAAGTATGTGCTCCTCATGCCAATGCTGAGAGCCGCTGCGTGCAGCCTTCCAAGCAGCCTGAACCCTCGAAAGCTCGTTGGCCTTGGCCTTGCGGAATTTCTCGCTTCGGCGCAATGTAGAAGCAGACACCCGCTGTTCTGAAGTGCCAGCTGGAGGCTGTGGCCAGTGCAGCTCCAGCTCAGTTTCGCTCTCGTCCTCGTCCTCTGACACGCCCAAGGCGCCTACCCGCGCGCTGCGGATCAATGGGCGTGCAACGGCCAGCACAGGAGAACTAGAGCTGGAGCGTGATGCAGGGCCCTGGCACCTACACACACAATCACAAGTACGGTCACTAAGCAAGCAGCACGGCTTCTCCACTTCATGCTAACCATGCGATTCAATGCGTGTCTTGGCGGCACCAGTAGAACCCTTCCACTTCTTCAGCGCGCCCTCCACATCGGTCAAGCACCTGTCACAGCTGCAGGTTGAGCGAATTGAAATGAGGTGCGTAGGTTGCCTCCTCTGCGGCGTCCCAAGTCATGCCACGATCGAGGTGTAAGCGCACATATGCCTGAGGGGGCGATGCCAACATTATCGCAGCACTTGTAGGCTCAAGCTGCTCTGGGCAGTTTGCCGTCTCAGCTCCTGTGATGGGGTCCTCAAACAAAACCTGGCCAAGGCTTGTACTACTTGAGATCGAATTACACCTTCCTCCTGCGAAAGGCTGTTCATCGTGCCTCTCGCTTTGCAAGTCGGACCTTCCACCAACAGCAAGAACAGGCAGGTGCGGAGAAAGCCGTCAAGTGCTGGTGAACGCTGTGGTCCTGGCTTCTGCTTGAGTACCTCGCCTGGTCGCACGAATTGACTCCAGCCACAGTTGCTTACTTGCTGTATTTGCTTCCAGGGTGCTTCTGGTCAAGGAGCTCTGGCCCCCCATCGTAGCTGCCAGCTGCTCGGTCCAAGCCTGCAGCTTACAGGCGCTGCTTTTCAATGACTCGCATGTGATGTGAATGTGATGTGATCAGAAGCAAAAGGCACCGGCTGACAAGGTGCGTGTAAAGCTCTGCGACTGCATCAAACAGAGCATTCTGCATCGTCGGCTCTAGCATGAGCAACCTGACGTCTGGATACATTCAAAAAGCCGCTTGCGCGCTCAACTACTGAAGCTTGCAAAAGGACCTGTTCAGGAAGACATTGAGGCTCTTGGACTCTGACAGGGACTCCTGAGGCGCAGTAGGTGCACGAAGTTTCGGATGAGCCCAAAAGACCCGGCTCCTCGTACTTGTCTTCCGTGTCGGGTCGAAGGCCAATCAAGTCAAGAGCCTACCCCAAACCCTGCTAACATAGCTGTCAAGAGTCAGCCGATATGCATGGCAGACCTTCTCTGCAGCCTTCCTGAACTCGGGCCAGCCTGAAAAGCAGCTCAACATTCGCCAATACTGTGGTCTTAAAAGCAAACTCTTGCCGAGGCACTTTGCCACTGACCCTGCTTCTTCTGTCGGCCGCGCGCCAAGCAAGAGAACGTCACCTTTCCACTTACAAGGTTCTAGACAACATTCTGTCTTCGCTGTACTCCTCACCTCGGGCTGCTGGCCAGTCCGCAGGAGCTCGAAAAAGCGGGCAAGGGCAAGCCGCCCATATCCTAGCACACGTTCATTCTACCAAAAGAATAGTTTGATCGTGCTGGGGATGCTACTATTTTCAGGGGCATGTCTGGCAACCAAGAAGCTGTTTTGCAGGTCGAAACTGGCCAGACTGCTGACAGCCCCGTGTGCAGAATTGCGATCTCCTCGCATCATGGCCTCGGCGTGTCTTTTACTGTTGATACGACCGAGCGCTGTTTCAGCTCTGTACGTGTATCGTCACTGAAGAGAAACATGCTGCATAGTCTGCTCTGCAGGAAAGAAGTCGAGACCCACACTCCCAGAATCCGCAATCGTCGTGCCACGGTGGAGACAAAGCGCACCTGGCTGTGAACTGCACGCGTGCTCATGCAAGCTGAAGATGTTTTTTCCTTACAGTCTTTGGATGCGCGTTGGGTGTTGTCAGGCTATGTCTTGGATCTGTGAAGCGCTGGGACTGTGAGAAGCCTTCAGGATGCCTTCCACCTTCTCTGCTAGGCGCTCATGCGCTTGAGCTGCAGGGTGGTGACCATCATGCCAAAAATCATTGGCTGGCATATGTCCAAAGATGATCCTTTGAAGCTGTCTCAAAACAAGCTTCATGCCCTCCAAGAGCGAAAGCTGTGAGACTCCAGCCTCCTCTGCCAGCAGTTCCAGCTCAGAAGCCTCGTCGAAGAGCCGTACGCGCACGCCATGCTTGGATGCAAGCATTTCAATACGTTCGAAGACGCGTTGGTTTATGCTGCGCCCCAGGGCTCGCAAACTCTGCGCAACGAAGCTGGCATCAGCCCCCGGCACCATGACATGGACCAGGAGCCGTGCTAGCGGCAGACAAGACACTATCGGCAACGTACTCAGGATGATATCCTGATGGCCATATTGGGCAGCACTAGCAAGGATCTGGTCCAACTGCGGCGAGACGCTCTTGGCTATCTGAATTGGAAAGTCCAGCTCCGGCCGCTCCGAGTCCTCCGAGCCGCGAAGCCGGTAAAGATCCGAGATCAGCAGAACCAACATGCGAGGATTCCTCAGGGAAAGCAGAGCATCATTACCACCCGTGTGTAGGATGACCAGAGTTCTCGCATCAAGCGTGAATTCCTCATGTATCCAGGCGTGTGCACGCTCAAGCTGCGCGCCAACGTGAATGGATTTTGTTCCGCCTCGCGCTACGTTTAGGACTGGCAAGTTTAGCCTCCGCCCTAAGCGGGATGGCCAGCAATAAAAACCCATATCAACATCATCCGCATAGGAGTCACCAAGAACGAGGACAGAGGAGAAGTCGCTTTTCTTCAGGGTGTCAGCGGGCAACCATGTTAGCTGATTGTGACGTTTTCGAGTGATCCATGATTCAAGAAACTCTGATCGAGCACCACGTTCCAAGTCACCTTGTGAGAAGGGAGCTACATTCGCCGGAGGCGCAGTTCGCACTCGTACGAATAGCTGACTGCGCTGCTTGCCTATGGCAACCAGGAACGCAAAGAGACAAATCGCGCCAGCTGTCTTTTTTGCCATCTTTTCAAGGATGCCCCTGCATTGCCAACAAAGCCACCAAAAGCCTCCTGCCCTAGCCCGATACCTTCAATAGAAACAGTGCTGAGCTTGTGACTGTGCGCTACAAGAGGGTCGACGTGCTCGGTTGCCCTTGAGCCAGGCTCTGCAAAAGGCGGTTGGATCGTGTTGGATCCACAAGCACCCCACAAGATGCCACGGCAGCCATTCTTAAGGCGGACAATTCTACACGTCGCAATGGCTATTGGCGTCTTCTAAACTTGGCCATGCACAATGACGGCAAGCTGCCTCTCCACCCAGCTGGGTCACCACGAATGCAAAGCGGGGCGGGACCTCACCATCAAGCTCTAAGCTCTGACAGAAAAAGCAAGTTCACCTCAACGGCTCTCCTTGCGAGAGAGCTCTGCTAGAAGTAGCCACAACCGCAGGTCCACAACAGCTTGGAGGGCAGACCCGCTGGTTGCTGCGATGCACGCGCCCTAGCTGCTGGATGGCTTTGTCAGCCTGGCTTTGGATTTGGAAAATGCAGCTCAACAGCAATGCAATCTTAAGAATGAGCAAGGCGAAGCTCATGTCCCATATCCTTTACTCCAATCAAGAATCACGCGTCGTGTCAAGTTGTGAAACAGCTTTGGATCATCTCGGGGGCTTGGAGGGATCCCTGTGATCGTCGTCATCCAGGCAGCCTTCAGCCCAAAGGTCGCGAACGGGAGCACCGCGATGGACCTCTTCCGCCCTGGCCTTTGCTTCGTCGGTGGGCTCTGGCAGATCCAGCTTCTGAACGAGCTCAGTGCCCCGGATGCCACCCACCACGGAGCGCAAATAGGTCAGCTCAAATGGCTGAAAGGGATACTGTGGCCCTCGCTGCAGGAGAGTGGATGGAAAGTGCGGCAGGCCACGGTGATGTCTGTCTCCACTCAGTCGACGGAGCAGCCAGCGAACTTCTGCGGAGCTCTGCTTAGCTCCTTCGAGGATTTCTGCTGGGACCTCTTGTGGATTGGCCTGCGCCCCAGAAGCGCCTCGAGCAACCAACAGTTCGGCCCAACGTGTCAGATGAGGCCGGAAAGCTTCAGACTGAAGCACTCGGCACTCCATCTGGTCTCGCTCAAACGCACGCAGCAGGGTTCCCAGCAGAAGATCTCGGTGCCTCAGGTGCTTCAGCTGCTTCCAGGCAGTGGCGCCTGCCATGGCTGCGCTGTTTGTGTTCTGATCTGAAACTCAGGCTGTGCTGCTACAGAATTCTTGACGGGTGATTTTGTCAGATCGTTTGCTACTTTGCACATATGCAGTGTTTGAGCCTTGCTGGAAAGAGGCCCCTCTGCTGACTAGCTCCACTGAACAATTCGCATAGGTCCTGTCAAGAGGCGTCCAGAGGTTCCTACAGGGACACCAGTTTTCCAGCGCAACCCGCCGCACACCACCTTTTGGCTGGAGCCTGGCAATCTGCAGCTTGGGGGTTAGACAAAACTCCTCTTCCCAGCCCCCCAAAACGCCCCTTTTCCCGCTACTTCGTCGGCGCCGGCACGTACAGCCAGGCCGAGGCGGACGGTGCACTGCGATTGCAAATCACCGACAAAAATCCAAGCACGACACGCCGAACCTCCCAGGGCATCTCAATCGAGATCATGTACCGGGGCCTGGTCCCATGGGCACATCCATTCAAACTGGGCCTGCCTCAAGCTTGGTCAGTTGGCATCGCGTCGAAAACTGCCTTTTCACCTTTACCACAACCCTCCCTGGGTTAGAAGGTCTCTGTCTTGACTCTGGGCATCGGTAGCCATTTGCGCCATTCAGGTTTGAGTATGCTTCTAGCCACCCTGGCACACGGCGGTGCTGTTGAGAATTCCTCTAGAGGCTGGACATCAAGCGACGCAAACCTTGACGGAAGCTGGTCAAGACTACTGCTCAAAATTTCTGTCTAGCACTTGAAGAAGACAGGCCACGAAATATAATGTTCTGATGCGGCAATGCAATGACAAGCCTCTTCGGCACAACGGGCCGCTACAAATATACCACAGTAGTGACTGAGGCTGGTTTGATTCACATGGAACAATGTGCAGAGCCAGGCCTCTGCGCTTCTTCGGGCAACCGCCTTCAGCCGGGGTGGGGACGGATTTTCGCCACGCGAGTAAAGCAAGGCCTGTCGCAGTGAAGGCTGATGCCCGCGCTGGCGGCCTCATCACAGCAACTTCCCGTTCAGAAGCACCCAAAACAGGAGCAGAGGCCAATCCATGCCTCGGTGACGATGGCAATCTGCTTGCGGCCCAGTTGAAAAGCTCGCAGCTCCTGAGCAGTTTGAAAGAAGGTCAAGCATGCTCCAACAGCAATTTGTTGCATCGACTGCGCCTCGAGATTTGCGCCGTCGCCCCGCTCCTGGACAGTGAGCTAATCAGGATCTGCACATAAAGCCAGTCGGAGCTGGGGGAGGGTAGGCCTGGAACTGCGCTTCCCCTGTCTGCTCATTGAAGACTAGTCGACGTGATCTGCCAGTCAGCTCGGCAACCTAAGAAACAGGCAGGAGCTGGGACCTGGGAAGCCTGACATGCCTCATTTCACTTCGTCTGCTAAATCCCAGCCTTGGAAGGACCACCCAGCCGGCGCATGATCTCATCGAGAGGATTGGGTGGAAGCTGGAGCCTGCGTTGAACAGTTGTAGAAGGCGCAACGAACCGGACTTTGCGGTCCAGGCAAGCGGCCGCTCCAACTGCTCCTCAGCCTTCTGGATCTCCTGGAACTCACTGCATCTAGCAGCCAACTGATCCAGAATACGAATGCACAGGTCCTGCAAAGCAGATGGTTCAGACTCCACGGAGTCTGCCACTGTCCTCAGAAGCCCCTTCAGCATTCGAAGCGCCACCTGACAGCCAATGCCAAGTTTTCACCATACAATTGGTGCTCAAGCTGCGCCTCTTTGGGTGCCGAAGCAAAACCAGCGGCCGCAGCGGCACGGTCCCCTTCTCGGTCGGCGATCGCTTCCGTCACGGACTCGCCAGTGGACCACATGGCAATGACCACCGCCTCGCCCCTGTCAGGTTTTTGCAGTGGCTTCACTATGCTTCGCTTATGGTTTCGCCCGATTATTGTGTAAATGGAAATGTAGTTCGACTCCAGACGCCTCAGCTGCGCCGCGGTGGCCAGGGACACGGCAGCGTCCACCTTGCTGCAAATTAGGAGTTGTCGGAAGAACTGCTGCTGCGCGCTCCAAAAGTGTCGCATGTGCAGCGAGTTCTCCTTGAGCTCGGTTGAGTGCTTCAGCTTCTTCTGCTTGACCTCACGGGTCCTGGCCTTCAATAGCCGCACGATGAGCTGGAAGGCGGTTTGCCAGAATTTGCAGGAGCCAGCGTAGGCAGCCGCTTGCTTCTCTTCTTCCAGTGTAACAGGCACCAGTCGAAAGGAGGCACCCTTGAAAGACAAGGATCGGCAAGAAAGCATCCCTTCCGCTCGCATGGTCATGGCCAACAGCTCCATGGCCGCCAGGCCACCTCCCTCCACGGCATCCCGAAGCTCCTCAAAGCTGGCATGCGGCCGCCCTCTGCCCCAGAGGCCCAGGCGTTCCAAATAACCCAAGTGACGCCTGGCAAACACTTCAAGGCAAAGCCAGCTCAGTTCCTAAATTCAGCTTGCACAACAAACATCAACTTTGCTGCGCTACGATGCACTGGCAACTGCAACAACTTTCAATAAGCAACGTCCTTTACAGCACACATTTCACAATTAGGGGCAAAACCCGATTCCACAGCAACGTCACGATGTGGGTGAGGGTGCTGTTTTGGAACAACTTGGCTTCAGCACTACAAGTAGATGGGAACCAGAGAGCAGCCACACCCCTGATTGTGGCCGTTTTGCTTCTGGGGACATTTTTAGAAGAGTTCACCAGGCGATCAAAGGTGAACATCTCGCAACATCGGTTTTGCAAACATGGCCAAACGGCCCTTCCCAAAGCATTTGAGCTGATGATCTACGTTGACTTCAGCACTTTCGAACCATCATAGGCCAGTAGTTAGTAGCGAGCTGTGAGGAGTTGTTCTGCATGCCTTACTTCCTGGTGGTTCAAGGCCCCAGGGCGATCAAATAAACTAGCTTCGATACTCAACCTTGGCCAAAATTCCCGAACAAAAACGCAACTCCGAAGAGCAGGCGCCCAAGACGGGCTGCACAACTCTCACAACTGCACATTGTGTTCACAGCGCCACCATCATCTTGCATCATTGAATAAGCTGGGATATCCAGGCGATGCCGAGGATTGTACCACCGAAGAGGCTTGCGGGGATTTCCCCGACAAAACCGTTGACGTTGAAGGGAGCTTGAAATGTCTTCAAGTTGTTCACTGAGAGGTTTTCCAGACTCTGGTTGCACCCAAACGCAACGTCCGCAGCCGCTTCGGCATCCCAACAGCTTCCAAGCTCTAGTTTAAATCGGCTTATTCGCCACCAAATACTTCGTGGCCAAAGGTCAACTGCCCTTCAGCTCCCTTCAAGCTCTGATGAAGACAGCAATCCAAAGCGAAAGCATGCATGCCTGCTGGCAACCTGAATCCTTCCAAGCTCTGGTAGTAATAAGTCAAGGTGCGCAGTTTCTTTTTGCAAGCATTACCCTCTGCATGCTCCTCTTGGTCTGCCAGCTTTCTGGCAACCTCGCCTTCCACGCCCTGGTGGAACTCTCGGCCAGACTGAATTTCTTCAGGCGCTGCAACCGACGCTTGCAGGGTTCTCGGCAGGCCAACTCCGACCAGACTCTGGTTGAATGGCTCGCCAAACTCCAGCTTCAGAAGGTACGTCGGCAGCATTACTGCTTCCAAGTTCTCAGCAAACTTATGTTTAAGAAACAGTTCTGGAAGTGTCTCTGACAGTTTTGCTCCACCCAAGCTGAGACCAATGATCAGTGTCTTCAAGCAGGTTGGCAGCTTGGCTTCTCGCAAGTTGCGGATGTTGCCATGCCGGATCGGCGCCCATCAACAAGACCCTGTATCTGCCGGCATTTTGCCTTTGTGAACCCTCCAGACTCGTGGAGGAAAGCGTCATCAAGGATCAACGTCTGCAAACACTTGGGTAGCATGACCTTCTTCAAAAAAAGTAGCTCCTTCAAAGTGAAATCTCAACTCTTCTAGGCTCCTTGGAAACCCGACCTTTTGTCAAGCTCTACTGGATGTTTTTGGCTGTGGCAAGCCGACTGCGCCAAAGCTCTGATCGAAGGCCTCTCCCAGACCCAGTACTTATAATGGGAATCTAAATTAAAATGGAGAATCTAGCTGGAAAATCAATTGGAAAATGAAATGGAACTACTATTCATGGGGACTTTCAATGCGTCTGGCAACGTGACTTTGCTTAAGCTTCGGTTGAGCTATGTTGAACTTGCTACGGACCCAGTCTGACATGCAAAATCCAATGCTCGCATTCGAGGCTCTGGTTGATCATCCATTCTCTGATTGAATTGGCCCATTACACCATCCACATCACTGAAATGTTAATGTCTGCAAGCATGCCCCTGCCCGTCAAGGATGAAATCATGTTGGTGGCTCCGGCTTCCACGGAAAGCCGGCGATGAGTCTGGAAGTGCATGTCACAAGGCAAGTGCTGGTTGTTGCAGAGTGTACCCCAGGGAGGGGGGAACGGGGCAACGGAACTGGGGGGGGGAGTTCGGGTTCGGGTTCGGGTCATGGGCTTAAGCGCGGGGGGAAGGGGGGGGTTCGGGTTCGGGTTCGGGTTCAGGTAGCGGCGACGGGGGGGGTTCGGGTTCGGGTTCG